ACAACTGATCTGGGATCAGAACAAACTGATCCACTCGACTCTGGAGATGACGTGCACGTCTGAGCGCTTTCAACAGACAAACCGACGTCCAGCCGTCTGAGTGAGGACTACAGACACCCCTCGAGGACTCGTGTCGCGTTTGGGTCCTTCTGTTTGAACCCTTGGCCTATGACAGCCCGACAGATGGAACTGGTCTCAGATCCAGTACCAGTCCTCACTCTCAACAGGCCTCAGGTCCTAAAAACTAGAATAATTGGTAAAGAACTGATGCAGTTAAAGCCGAGGCCAGTTCTCAATCCTTCCAGTGAAGGCCATGAATTCAGCGTATTTTAAAGGACCACAGCCGCTGTCGACGCCTGACTGGCTGAAGGAGACATGGTGACGATGAGGACGATGAGGATGATCCACATCAATCTTTACAAAGATGCTACTTCAGAGATTTCTGTAAACGGAGCTTTGGAAACTGGCTCTGGTCTGAATTAAAAAACCTGTGTAAGGTTTACATTCAGGTAAACCTTCACTCCAGACCACTGACTGCACGGACACGCTCGTGTCTCGTGACGGTGCATGCTGTATTTTAGGGCATTTTAAAAAGCTTTATCTATTTTTACTCTTACTTTTTTACATTAAAGTCTCAACATATAGTTCTAATTTTACCACTGACGTTACATCACAAAATAAAAGCATAACAGACACTGGTCACGTGACCTCACTGTGGTCGTTAGAGGCTGTTGAGCTCTAACGGGCTTTTCAAGGAGAAAAACAACATCTTTGTTTGTAAATTACGTCTCCGTGGTAACTCGAAACACCGATATAAGTAAGAGCGCACACACGGTGCCGAGCCGGTGTGGGGGACACTGCGGTTCTGAGCACATTCAGGCTGAAGGAAGAGCAGGAGCTCCGTCAGGCGGTTAGAAGAGGCTGAACTGCAGGATGAAGCTCCAACAAGAGCACAGAGAAGGTCCCTGACCCTGGTCCTCGTGGCCCACCCTCCTTCACGTTTGAACGGTTTCCCACTTCAACGCACCTGATTCAAATGACTGAAGGATCTGCTCACGCCGTCATGAGTTTTAGCAGAAGCGTGGCTTTTCTTCAGTCAGGAGTGTTGAAGCAGGGAAACGTCTCCAGTGGTGAACCTTTATCATTTTCTATATTTCTGCATCAACGTGACTAGAACATCTTCAGGTTTCACACAAGTCCTCAAAGCAGATCAAGACAACCAGTTAAACAAATGAGACTAAAATATTAAACTTGATCATTTATTTATTGAGGACAATGATCCAACATTACATATTAGTGGTGAAATTATGTGAACCTCTGGGATTATCATTAATCTGAAGGTGAAATTAGAGTCAGGTGTTTTCAATCAATGATGATGATCAGGTGTGAGTGATCACCTGTTTGATTTAAAGAATAGGATCTATCATCGTCTGATCTTCACAACATGTTGGTGGAACAAAGGAGATTTCTGAGGAGCTCAGAAAAAGAGTTGATGCTCATCAGGCTGGAGAAGGTCACAGAACATCTGTAAAGAGTTTGGACTCCACCAGTCCACAGACACATTGTGGATGAATGGAGGAAGTTCAGGACCATTGTTACCCTCCCCAGGAGTGGTGGACCAACAAGGATCACTCCAAGACATGGAATAGTGGGCGGGGTCACAAAAGAGCCCAGGGTAACTTCTAACAGCTGGAGGTCTCTCTCACACTGACTGATGTTCATGAGTCCACCATGAGGAGAACGCTGAACAACAACGTGTCATGGCAGGGTTGGAGGAAGACTCTGCTCTCCACAAAGAACATGGCTGCTCGTCTGCAGCTTGTTAAAGATCACGTGGACAAACCACAAGACTGTTGGAAGATGCTCTGTGGACGATGAGACTAAAATGAAAAGAAAAGAGTTCTGTTTGGAGAAAGGACAACAGCATTCCTGCACCTTATCCCATCTGTGGAACATGGTGGTGGTAGTATCATGGTCTGGGCCTGTTCTGCTGCATCTGGACCAGGACGGCTCGCCATCATTGATGGAACAATGAATTCTGGATTATATCAGAGAATTCTGAAGGAAAAAGTCAGAACATCTGTCCATGAAGTGAATCTCAGAGAAGATGGGTCATGCAGTGACACAATGACCCTCAGCACACAAGATGTTCTAGCAAAGAATGGTTCAAGAAGAATAAAGTTCATGTTGTGGAATGGTCAAGTCCAAGTTCTGACCTTCATCCAGTCCAGATGTTGTGGAAGGACCTGAAGCTGCAGTTAATGTGAGGAAACCACCAACATCCAGAGGTGAAGATGTTCTGTACGGAGGAATGAGCTCAAAGTTCCTCCAAGGTGAGCAGGACTCATCAAGAGTTACCAGAAATGTTTGAAGTTAGGGGGGGGGGGGGGGGGGGGGTCACACCAGGTACTGAAGCAAAGGTTCACATACTTTTACCACTGATGGATGATACTGGATCATTGTCCTCAATAAATAAATGACCAAGTTTAATATCTTAATCTCATTTGTTGAACTGGATGTTTGTAACAGGTCTCTCTTGTAAATGAGTCCTGGAGGCTCACTGGGAACTAACCAGTATAAATAAAGGTTGAATGAAAAACTAACTGGGTTCTCTTTATCTACTTTTTCATTCAACCTTTATTTCTGCAGGTTAGTCCCATTGAGCCTCGAGGACTCGTTTACAAGAGAGACCTGGTTTAACAAAGAGTGATGACAACAATAGACAGTTATAAAAGAGACGTACAAATAATTTTTTTAACAAGTTCAAATCAAATGGCAACCAAAAGGACAGTCAAAAGGAAAAGTAGCGAACCCCCCCCCCAAGCTAGTTTACAAGGCGGTGCAGAAAACTCAAAACAGGAACATGTCTGTGTTGGTGTTTCCAGGAACTTAACAGATGTTTGAAGACACATGGAGAGGTCAAGGTCAAGAGCTTCAGATCTTTTTACATCTTTTTTAGGACTTGTGTGAAAATCTGACGATGTTTTAGGTCATACTATAGAAATATAGAACATTTATAAAGTCCTCATAAACATTCATCAGCTCTGTAAAACGTGGCAAAGTGGACCATGAGGTATACGACACAATCCACGCCTGTCGACACACTCTCATACAACAATCTATAGCAAAGGCCTGGACAAGCAAAGACCTTGTAGAACCTTTGACCTTGATTTGTGACCTTGACCTTGGAGCTGGGGTGATGAAAAGTGTGACACTCAGTCTAGCAACGTGTAATAGACTCCATGAAGTTATCTTGAGTGGATCAAAGGTTAGGCCTGGACAAGAGAACGTTTAGGTACAGATAGAGACTATTTCATAAAACTCCTGACTTTTGACGGGCGCATGATAAAAACAAAATATGTCGTCTTCACTGCAGTGCAGTGTTGGTGTACAAATATCAGAATGAGGTTCTGCATCTGCTGAGCCTCAGTTTCAGACGACTCATTAAAACTTGATCAGTCCACCCTGGTCCACAGCTTAGCTTGAGCTGCTTACATCGTCTCCTCCGCCTCTGGAAGCCGCCACGTTGTGACACAACTCATCAGACACGTGTGAATCGTGTTTTTATTGAACAAATCAGGCGTTGATGTTAAATTGTGCCGCTCCTGTTTCCACAATGAGATGCACTCCCATCCTGAACACATGCTGCTACAAAGAACATGATGCATAGAACCAGCAGCAGAAGAAGAATTTACAAGAATTAGACTTCTTGTAAAAATGTAAATACATAAGTTTCTTTTTTTTTGTCCTCGGTCATATCCTGGTGTTCTGTTGAATCTCAAATTTTTAGTTTTGTCTCTACATCTTTACAAGCGCCTTCTGTAGTCTGTTCGTACATGAGGCCCCTGGCGGTCTCTAAAGATGAGCTGCTCAAACTAAAGTTAGAATAAATTTAAAACCAGCGAGAAACTAAATCTCGTTTGTCTGCAAGCAGCATCCTCTGAGGAAAAAAAAAACACGACTTTGTTGAGCGCCACAGCAACCATGTAGACAATCACTGGAAACAGGCGACTCCAGCGTTTGACAGTTGGAAACAGGCGCCTCCAGCGTCTGACAGCTGGAAACAGGCGCCTCCAGCGTCTGACAGCTGGAAAAAGGAGTCTCCAGCGTCTGACAGCTGGAAACAGGCGCCTCCAGCATCTGACAGCTGGAAACAGGAGTCTCCAGCGTTTGACAGCTGGAAACAGGTGCCTCCAGCGTTTGACAGCTGGAAACAGGAGTCTCCAGCGTTTGACAGCTGGAAACAGGTGCCTCCAGCGT